TGTGTTTCTTTATGGGGTGGGGGATGCTTTTTCTAATATGGTTATGCTAATGAAAGGTAAAAAGAGGAGAAGCAGGGGATCATCTCTTATAATTGATGTATGGGCTCATTCCACAGGAGCTTACATTTTCAAAGACACACACATAAAACCAAAACAAAAATAGAGAAAAAATAACAACTTATCAACAAGCTTTCAAGTTTGCTTCTTCACACATCATAGATAGTCATTCATAACATTATTTTATTAGTATTATTATTATTATTTGTAACACGCATCACTGCCATATGAAGCCAAACATGTGAGCATTATCTACCCTCTTATCACTTCACAGATGTAAAGTGAGATCGATCGGCTCTTCAGTCCTCACGAGCTTTAAATTCAGATCCATCATCTCTTGTCCCTTCACCTGACCTAGGCTCACTGCCATGTTCATGGCTTGGCCATTGTTTCCCATCGTATGAAACATTGAAGGCATCAAAGGAAGAGAAGGAACTCCACCTCCATTCCTAAAATTGTAGCTCTGGGTAGCAAGCATCATTTGATCGTACTTTGATTGAGGCCATTGCTCAAGCCGCGCATGTAGATTAGGGTACACATTCGCCTGCAAGCTAGAACTGTGTGGTGGCTTGGGTGCAAGGCTTTGGAGCTTTCGTCTAACCTGGAGCTTTTGTCTAACATTCGAGCTAGCCTTAATGGCCTTTCTAGTAACCACCCTCCCATTTCTATGGGCGGTTTGGTGGCCACCTAGTGCTTGAGTCGATGGAAATCGTTGTTTGCAATATAGGCATGGATACGGATTTTCGGGATCAGAGGTGGTAGCATACCTCTTTGCAGCATCTCTAGAACTGGAAATGGAGTGGAGCATGTAGGGTTTGAGCCATTCAGGTATGTGTGTGGTGTTGGTGGGCTTGGGCTTGGACTTGCGGACGGGGTTGGCGGTTACTAGGCATTGCAGCTCCAAGCGGGGTGGCTCTTGGTTAGGGTTGTGAGGCGTGGTGATGCTGTGAGAGTCAGAGATGTCGGCGTTCTCAGATTCCATGGATGGCTCCGCTTCTCTTTCTAGACAGTGGAACCTAGAGAAAAACACAGAAAGAGAGAGAGAAGGAGGCTTGAGATATGAAGTGAGAGAGCTGTATTTGAGAAGAAAGAGATAGAGGGACAGAAGGGAGAGTGATAAGAGGGAAGGACAGAGGCTGATATAGTAAGAGGGGTGTATGGGGTGGAGCTTTTGGGGGTTGACTGGCTTTTAAATGCTTGTTTTCTAGGGTTTCTTGCTGTGCATGCGTGACAAATAGATACATAATAAACCGTAGAGCCATTGCTCTCACTGTTAATGAACATGTTTGGTGAAGCTATTCTAAAAATGAGATATGTGCCATGTGTTAAATGTGAACTTTTTAATTGAAGAGGGTATTAGTGATTTTAAAAAATAAAAAAATAAAAAAAAGTAGGCCGAATCGGATTAGAACTAGGGGTTCCCTAGTTTTGAATGCTTCCAAGCAAGGGAATCACCCAATTTGATGTGAACCAAACAGTTCTGGGGTTCTTGAGCATATTGTTAATTCTATTTTTGATGGAATCCGGTGTATTAGTGCTTGTATGATAACATTCGAAAATGTTATCTTTAAGATGATTTTTCGTTTTCTTTTTTTTATAATTTTTCTTTGTTCATGGAGGGATTTGCAGGGCTCAGAATCAACAAGTGGCCGATAATCAGTAAGCTAACCTCAAAATCGAGCATCCATCTCGGATCAGGTGCCTCAGTCATATTCTTTTTTTAAAAAAGAAAAAAACGGTTGGCAGAATGTGCACAGTGCTCATAAATATTAAAAGTTTTAATATTTATGCATATATCATCTTTTTTTTATATATACATAGAAGTCTAAATTATAGCATTACGTATACGGAGATCCAATAGTCCGATATTTCTAAAATCAGACAGGTGTTTTTTTTAAATGGGCTCACACCCTTTTTTATTTATTTTTCCAAATTTTCCCCTTAGTCAGATAAACACATTCATATTCTAAAGGGAGGAAGAGTATACTATCCAGTTGCTCCCTCGGACAAAATTCAATCTAAAAGTATTTTCAAGACCCTTAATTTTGGGAATATAACCTCTAGAACCCATATGCTATACGCAATTAAAAAAAGAGAAAAACAGAAAAAAAAAAAAAAAAAACAGAGAAATCTAATTTTTAATGGCAAGATGTAAAGCGTTACAAACTCAAAATTCAAAATGTTTTCATTTGAATATAATCATCTAATGATTTTTAGTGGTTTCCAAAATCTCATTTCAAATCTCCCCAAGGTAGTCTTTTTCTCGGGGAGTAAGTGTACCGTATGCTCCCAATGAGCATATAGCCTTTGACCCCCCAAAATAGTAGGCCTAAAAAGAAATATTGGGGTCTGTATTTTCTAGAGCGACTCTGTCTTTAGTTTAGCTGAAACAATGGTCAAATAGTTAAAGCCCCATTCAAGAGTTGGGCCGGATATTCAATGGGATCTTATTAGTGAAAATCTAGAGCTTAAATTTTAATCTTTACTTAGTTTTTGACAGTTGGGCATAATTTGACTCAATTGATTCCTTTACTATTTCTGTTCGATTGAGGTTTGGAAAGAAGTTATTATAGGCTATAGTATGCATTCACCCTTGTCGAGTGGTGATAAGGAAAATTTTTCCACCTAGGTTTTAGGAGATAAAATATTCTATTTAAAAGATTTCTAAATGGAGGTATAATTGTTCAAAGAAAGCGTGCTATATGCCACTAGGCAGAATTTATGTATGCCACTCTCTCTGACGTCGGAATGATGTCACGAATAAGCCAGCCACTCAAAGTATTTTATTTTTAATTTTTTTCTATTAACATGAAATTTGGTGCATTTGATCATCTCAATGGGGGGGCACCTAAAAGCAGTAGTAATAATAATTTTCATGAAAAATAAATAAAACTCCTTTAGAAATTATTGCTAGGTTTGGTGATAGTCAAAATCATTATGTATATGTTTTCATTAAAAGACTAAAGGCAATATGATAAAATGAAAATAGACTTTCTTGAAAAGTAAGAAAATGATATCTATATAAGACATTCAATAAGGACATAATATCCAATCCTTTGAGGGTCAGTTCTTTGGGGGTTATGGGAATGGATATCCAATATGGAGATGGATCTCCAAGAGAGAGAGACATGACCTCAGAGAGAGAGAGGCGGTATTCCTATAAGTTTTGGATTGGTTAACTTCCGTTTCGAGAGAAAATCTCCATATTACTCTCAATGTTATCTTTTTTTGTAGTGGTATTGTGGTGGGAAAGATTGAAATCAAAGTGTTTGAGATGTATATTGACTAAAATCAAAATTCAAAAGAAAATTTCTTGATACTTGTGATACACCTCAAGTTTTATAATGACATCTGACAACTTAGAGCAATAGTGACCTCTTTGTACAAAAAATTAAACAGCCTTATAATGAGGGGAAAAAAAAAATGTGATAATAAATCTTTCTTAGTCGCTAAAGCAATCTTAATAAGTTCAAATGGCTAGAAGCTCTGCAAACGATTTTAAACAAGGAAAACGTTTATATAAGGTTGCAATTTTAAAATGTATAATTAAACTTGCACATAAAAAATCCATCATAAAAGGTTGTTTGGATGTTATAAAACCGTCTAATAGATCATCTCAACATCGATATGTATGAATATGAATAGAAAAGAAGATTTTGAGTCCGCGAAATAGTGTATCTTGCAACACATTATTTGGACTGCCTATTTCCCAGATTTTTATGTATTTATAGATCTACTTGATTTGAACCATTTTTAAAGTTTAAAATTTTATACTTAGAGATAAAAATAGATTCTTTAACCATCCTAAGAAAAAATTATATGAAAATTACATTTATGATAAATTTTAAAGGTACTCCTTAATTGGATTATTTAAGGTTGCAACTTTATCCAAACCGAACCCTTTAAACAAAGAAAGTACCATAGAAAAATCAGACAAGGAAATGGAAAGCCAAAGTCCATTGTTATATCACCATCCATTTAGGATTGCAGGACCTACCATTGGCTTCCTGCCGTATTCATGTGAGTCCAATATTATTTCCATATCTATCATTTTATTGGAGGGTGATGAGTCTAATAAGATATGTTGCGTCATGATCCAATTATGGATGCCAATATTAATACATCAATATTGGTAAAGAGCAATATCCTGTGATCAATGGGTCTGGCTTGTATAAGGTCTCAACCTTAAACAATTATGGATGTCAATATTTATACATCAATATTGGTAAAGAGCAGTCCTTTTGATCAATGGGTGTGGCTTGTATAAGGTCTCAACCTTAAACAATCAAAGTAAGGACTTCTCCAAATAATATGTGGAAAGATGTATTTTTAATGTCGAAAAAACTTGTGATGGTCATTTTCACTTTTAGTTATAAAATTTAAAGTTCTTAGATGATGCAAATCAAGCAGATCTATAAATAGTTGAAAAATCTAAAAAATATAAATTCTAGATAATGTGTTTAAAGATGCACTATTTCTAATATTAAAAAATATTAGTTTTTCATATCCATACATTTCGAGGCCAAAATGATCAATTTGAGAGCTTTTCAACATCGAAAGAGCATTATCCAGTGTATATAGGAGTGGCAATAGGTCAGGTCGGGTCCGGCTGGACCCAGACCTAGACCTGGACCCGTCGGGTGCCGAGTCGGGTCCAGGTCTAGGTTCATTGCCACCCCTAACCTTATATAAACTTTTTCCTATTTAATATACCTCATCTTGATCAAGCAACAATCTCATTCCTCTCTTTCTATCCAAAATTTCAAACCAAGTCTCTAATTGCACCAAACTTGAAGCCTCGAACTCTACAAAGTCTTACTGACTTAGCTTGGAAGCAACCCACACCAGACTATCCACCCAAAAAAAAGTAAACACTTCCTCACACTAAAGGTCCCCTATATAAACCCCACCTCCCCCTCCATACCCCACAACCCATTACTCCTACAGCCCATCACATTTTTCCCAATCCCAAAATGGCCCTTCCCTCTCACCTCTTCCTCGTGTCTTCCTTTCTCTTGCTAGGATTCGTTGCGTTGGCATATGGGAGATATTTCTCAATTGTTGGACACTCTCCTGAGGACTTGGCCTCTGATGAGGGGCTCATCTCCCTCTTTCAATCATGGGCTTCAAAGCATGGCAAAGTGTATAGGGATTTTGAGGAGAAATTAAGGAGATTTGAAACGTTTAAGGACAATATAAAACACATTGATGAGACAAATAGGAAGAACAAGAGCTATTGGCTTGGGCTTAATGAATTTGCAGACATGAGCCATGAAGAGTTCAAGGAGAAGTATTTGGGGGTGAAACCCATCTTTCCTAGGAGGAATGGAGGCGAAAACTTTCGGTATAGGGACGTCGAGAACATTCCCAAGTCTGTGGATTGGAGGAAGAAGGGAGCTGTTACTGCGGTGAAGAACCAAGGGCAATGTGGTAAGTCTCTCTCTCTCTCAAAAATCACATCTTGGACTCTCTCTCTCTTAATTTTACATAGAGTGACGGCTCTCTCTCTCTCTCTAGGGAGTTGTTGGGCATTCTCAACAGTAGCAGCGGTGGAGGGCATCAACAAGATTGTTGCAGGGAACCTAACCTCTCTCTCCGAGCAAGAGTTGATAGATTGTGACACAGTGAATCAGGGGTGCAATGGTGGTCTCATGGACTATGCTTTCTCCTACATCATGTCCAATGGTGGAATTCACACCGAGAATGATTATCCGTATCTCATGACAGAATCAGAATGCCAAGAGAAGAAGGTGGCTCTTTTCTCTATTTTCCTATATTTTTTCTCAATTTTGATTGCTTTTAGCCGGTAGATAGTTCATTAATATAGTATGCTAGAGAAACCGTTTATATGAGGTACCAACCTTATTCCGTCGGGCACCGCAAAAAGCTACCTAAAGAGGTTGTTTGGATGTCATAAAACTTTCTAATTGATTACTTTGATCTCAAGACTTCTAATTGATTACTTTGATCTCAAGACGTAAGATATACTAATATGAAAAAAAATATATATATATTTTTAAATCATGAAAATAATGCATCTCGTATCGCATTATTCGGATAATCCGTTTTTAAAATTTTTAAATATTTATAAATCTACTCAATTTGTAACTTTTTTAAAAAATTTCATTATTAACTATAAAAATATAATTCCAGGGTATCACATGCCTTTTCGACATTGAAGGTGCATCTTTCAATATGGTATGGAGGTGCACTTACTTTGCTTGTTTTAGGTGGGCGGCCGTCTTGTACGAACTGCGTATCTTTATAACTATTAGCTTTGAAATTCGTGTTTCTTATGAATTCGTTAAGCTATAGCGAAATTAACCATTTAGACCATGTTAAACGTTTGGAGCTCCATATTTTTAGAAATTTTACAGAAACCCTTTTTGTTTTTTTTTTTTCAAGTCTATCTCTCGGTTGGATATTGAAACAATGAACCGTTTAATTTTATTTTTAAAAAAAATTGTCATTTGTGAGGAAATCCAATGGATAAGATTACGGACCTCCCCATTCTGGGGAAGTTTGATAACGGCACCCTACAATCTAATATATATTTTTTGCAAGGGGCGATGCAATGTTCTATACATCATTGACCCACACTTGGATTTTTTTATGTTTTATTTTTTTAAGTGTACCAATCCGATGTTTGAAACAGCATACCGTTCTTAATTTATTAAAAGGAAAATTGGTGGTCTGATACTGCTAACATCATAATGCCCCATGCAAAAGAATTAACTATTTCATAAAGCTATCCGATGTTTATATTAGCAAACCACGGGGTAGATTGATATCTTATCCACTAATCGCCCCAAAAATGCCAAAAAATTAAAGTGGTTCAAGGCAAATTTCGATACAATAATATAAAAAAAAAAAAAACACCAAAAGGAAAAGACCAAAATTTTTTAAAATATGGATCAAAGGATAATTCCTTAAATCTAAACTTGTCCATATACAAATTTCTCTAAGATAAATTCTTGTTTAAAGTTAATTTATATTCTTTTTATCGGTAGTATGAAATTCATCTAAAGGGAAATGTCTTAATACTTACCGTGGTACCAACTATTAGCTCTACCATTAAATGGGGGATTTTAAAGATGTTTCATTCAAAACGTTTTTCTACTAATGAGCTTAAGGCATTGAGTCGGTCAACAAAGTTTGAACCTGTCTCAATTAAACTGTGCTGACAAACTGAAAACACTATAGAGACAGTAAAAATCTATCGCCCAAAAGCATTGAAAGGAAAGGATTTCAAAATATTGTAAGCAGCCCCTGTAATATATGTCAATAGTAAATGACACAAATTAGGGTGTTTATCTAATTTTCTATTATTCTTATTTTTCCTGTGTCAGGGAGAATTGAAGGTAGTGACAATCAATGGCTATGAAGATGTGCCCGTAAACGATGAAGCAAGTCTCCTAAAAGCCCTGGCGCACCAGCCAGTTAGCATTGCTATACAGGCATCCGGCGTAGACTTCCAATTCTACAGTGGGGTATGCATGCACGCATAGATTAATTATAACAATGCATAAATACATAAATACACACGCTGCAGATGCATGCACAAATATATATCGGCATAAATGCGCTCAAAGTATAGGTGGTTGTGCCACAACATGACGTCTTGAATTCTATTTCTACCATAGTAGGAGATCAATTTCATATTGATCTACCACAAATTAATATATACTCATAGATATATTTACCCCGAAATGTACACACATGCAGTTGGCAATGCATTGGGCCTGAGCCAAGCCGTGCCTAGCCTGGGTCCTTGGAGGCGCAACCACGGCCAGCCCAAACTTGGCTTGGCCTTAGATATGATGGGTTAGGCCAAAAACCTAAAGAGAGAAATCTGAGCCTAGGATTTCCCGTTACACATTTTCCCCGTTGCACAGCCCGGCCCACTGCCTACCTTTAGCCATTTTGTTTTGCTAGAAGGTTCCATAGTGGCCATTTGTTTTAACTGAAAGAGCAATATTTATAATTAAAATATCTTCATAAGTTTACCATAATGTCCATGTCTATTGAAAGGCTTTTTGTTAGCCTTGGAACAGGATCTACTTCATTATGTTGTCATGTTCATATTTCCTAAATTCATAAATTAGTGTACATTGTGGGACAAAAATTCGGAAAGTGAGAGGAAATTGTTCATTTTCAGGGAGTTTTCACAGGATCTTGTGATACTGATCTTGACCATGGAGTTGCTGCTGTTGGTTATGGCTCAACTAAAGGATTGGACTACATCATTGTGAAGAATTCATGGGGGCCAAATTGGGGAGAAAAAGGTTACATCAGAATGCAGAGGAGTACAGGCAAGCCTGAGGGCCTATGTGGCATTAATAAGATGGCATCTTACCCTACCAAAAACATTAAACCTTGACATTGCTTCTTCCTCTACGAATGTACCAAATTGTTTGATGCCCAATAATACTCAATATTGTCTTGTTGCCCAACATTAATATGACTATGTTGTGGTCTCTCTTTATTATTGAAGTTTGAACTAAAGTTTCCAACTCCTTGACCATTCTCTCTCTCTCTCTCTCTCTCTCTCTCTTAGAAGCCCAAATTGCCCTTGCTTAGGGTTCACGACCCTCAACAAATATGAGCATTTTAGTGAGTTGACTGATTTTAAATATGTTAGGGTACACCGGTTATTTGACTGGGGCTCTGAAGGAAAATGAGGTGTTTACAATTAATAAATTTGAGAGATAGATATAAAGAGAGAGCCCTTGGAACATAATTGAAAAATAAAGGTTGCACAAGCTTAGAACACAACTGAGAGATAAAGATTACACCGTCTTGTTAAAGGTTACACACAATGTGAGACATCCATAAAAATTTTCATTTTCAGGCAAAACATAAGGGTATATTTCACTTCCAAAAATGGGGAAAAACTGGAAGCCACCCCTTTCAATCCCCCTCCTTCCAATGGACTAGAAAAGTTTGGATACTTTGGTTTCCGAAGCCAAAACTTTTTACAAGTTTACAACACTTATTTTTCAAGCACCAGTCACATTTAAACTGTATAACCCTGTTCTCTCTCTCTCTCATCCAAGCATTTAAAATCTCTCTTGTGATTTAGTAGAGGAATTATAAAATGCATAATTCACACACCTAAATATGCAAGTCATTACTAGTCTTTATTTGCACATATCGATACGAATGACCGGATCAATATCAAAATTTCAAGGGTGATGTTTGTATAAGGTGCCCACCTAACACTATACAAACAAAGTGCATCTCAAAAAAAAATTACATCCAAATTTTCAAGATAGGAACCAAAAATAGCTTCAATGCAAATTATCCAAATTATGAGTATATAATCTCATAAATGAGTGGCAAAAACAACCCCTTAGCATAATTTCCATCTAAATTTCAGGACCAATAATAAGAAGGGAACCAAAATTTTCAAAGAATAAATACAAGGGCTAAAAAGTATATAAAACATCTTGAAATTAAACACTATAATTAACTTATCTGACTTGGATTTTTTTTAAAAAAAAATTAATATAAATAAATAAATAAATTCTGACACAGTTGACAAGTATCACAAAAACAAATTTTCAGTGTTGACAAGTATCAGAATGGGCCATAGAATTTGCCAACGTGGTTCATAAACTGCAAGATCTGACATGATAACTCTCCACTTTTCATGCATGCACAAAAAGGAAGCCTATGAAACAATTATTTAAACCCCACCCTAACACTCATTTCTTTACCAATAATCTCCATGTCCATTGTTCTTCTCTCTTTCCATGTACTCTTTCTTCCTTCCCCCATCGCTGATCTCTCTTCCTATGGCTCAAACATGGCAGTCAATCTCTCTCTACCTTGTCCATCCTCGGTGCTGTTGTTCACTACTCTCTCTCTCAAGATTTGTTTTCACTTCTTTCTCTCACCTAATTTTCTTTCTCTTATCTATTTCTCACTCTTGTTCCAGCCTGCACCATCTATCTATTGAGTGAAACAGGGCCACCCATTGAACCTTAGAACCCTAACACCTCTGACCTTCGACCCCCAGTTTCGATCCCCCATGCCAAGGCGATAGGTCAGCACTACCGCCAATTCCAACACACCCACCAGCACTGCCACAACTATGCTTATATATAGCTGGCTCCAATCCCTTTTGCTACACTCCAATTCCTATCCCGAGTTTCATGAAGTTGCCAGCTTTGCTTTGCAACCATCTCTCAGTATCGCCTCTGTTTTACATCTCAAGCATTTGGTGGTGGACACAAAAAGGAGAGGAAATGTGCTAGAAATGCCTTGAGAGCTAGCTTCGTTGCCAGCGATGAGCTCGTGAGCATTCGACCTAGTTCCAGCTTGAGGTACGTGAACCCGCATGCCCAAGCACGGATGCAGCAATGGGCTCAGGCTTGGTATGCTACCATGGGTTTTAGCCAAAGCAACGAGTTTGCAAAACGAGGGGCAATTTCTAGTTTGCCCATGTTGCATAATAAGATTGGATATAATGGATGAGGCATGAACCCCACCATGAACCCCCTCGCCAGTCAAGGGGTGATGAACCGATCGATCTAACTCTAAAAGCAGATAAGGAGAGAAGAGCCAATCGATCTGACTTTGCATCTGTGAAGGTTCTAAAGGATGGATGATGTACGCATGGATGAATGGGTAAGAAAAAAGGGTGATGCATATTAGTCATTAAAAAAATAGGAAAATAAAAATAATATGATCGATGGCCTTATCATCAAAAAGTGGAGGTTAAGAGTTTTCATAGACAAACAAAGCACTTAAGCTCATAAAGCATTTGCCAGGAAATTTGGGTCTTATACTTTCTCCATATCAAATCAAATTGATTACTTTCTCCTTCACTTTGGCATTGTTTTGTCATGGCTAAGCAATATTTGGTATCTATCACTTCATTGCAAACCACAAAAATCAGCCAGACATCTCATTCTTTCAAGGCTAGATCACATACAGTTATCAAGACTAGAGAAAGGGTTTTGAGACAACCTTTCACTAAAATTACCCCTGGAATTATACATTATGAGACTATTTATTTTTATTTTAAGGATGTCATGTTACTGGTCATTAGATGTCAAATTGGATGATTTAGGTATGTCATAAAGTTCAAGAATTTTTTTTAACCTTTGAGACTAATTAGTGACACTCACAATCAATTTTTTTTAACCTTTAGAGTCTAATTAGTGACACACTCACGATCATCTGATTTGAATCTGATTTGAAATTTAATCTAACGAGTAAGAATGATTGTGACATCCTTACACATCCTTATAGTCTTATAGTAAAAGTAAATGATCTCTTTATATATTTTTCTTTCTTAATTTCTAAAGGGTTTGGTTAGGCTACACCTTGGTGATGTATAGATGTATACCTTTAAAGTCTTGATACTTAGATACTTTTTATCTTATAAATGTTGATACTTAGATATTTTTATCCTACAGCGTAGTAATTTTTTTTCATAGGTATTTTAAGTAATTAGTAAGGCAACGTAAAAATTCCTAATAGAAACAAAAGTAAAATAAAAATTTCTAATAGAAACAAAAATAAAGTAAAAATTCTTAATAGAAACAAGAGTATTTATTAACAGTGGATATTGAAATCAAATAATAGTGAATATTGATATGACCAAAAATGGAGTGTCATATCACCCATTAATTGTTTTTTAACTATTTATATAGAATGTCATTATTTTTTTATAGAAATATCTATTTTAGTTTTTTACTTGACCAAAAATGTTTCTACTAGAAACATTTTATATTACAATTCAAGGGTAAAAAATTTTATATTACAGTTCAAGGGTATTTAAGTGTCCAAAAATGTCAAGAACTTTAAAAAGGTTTTTATCAAAGAACAATTATAAATTATTATTTTTCTATAAGGGTCAAAGAAGAAGATAAAGGACAGATATTGTTTGTCTTTTACAAAGCCCAAATAAGGAAGTCCTAAAATTAATACTGAATGAAAATTATAAGATTGCATAGATAACAAGGAAAATCTTTGTTCGAATCTAAAAGAAAAATTAATGCTGAATGAAAATTATAAGATTGCATAGATAACAAGGAAAATCTTTGTTCAAATCTAAAAGATAACACGAATTAGAAGAGAAGCATAAAAGGGCGTAGAAAAGAAAATCATGGTCCTACCAACAGAGACAATAGATAATCGGAAAAATATACAAAAATACCATTTACTTTTTAAGTTACAATTAGTCTCGTTCATCAAATTTCAAATTGGGTTTCAAATTGGGTGGTTATGAGTGTCATTGATTAGACTGATTCAAAGTTCAAAAAATAAAAAAAATATTTTTGAACTTTATCTTCCACCCTTAGTCATCATCCGATTGGACATATGGCCTCATATGGGCGGTAACAATTGTGACTTCCTGATACCATACATAAATGGTCTCATAGCATACACCCAATATTTGCGAGAACTCTAATACCAGAGGCAGAGGAAAAAAGAGAGGAAGAAGATGAAAGATACCATACATAAATGGCCTCATAGCATACACCCAATATTTGCGAGAACTATAATACCAGAGGCCGAGGAAAAAAGAGTGGAAGAAGATGCATGTGTTCAGACTACCAGATTTTGAGTTCAATGTCTTTTGAGTTCAATGTCCTTTGGTTGTGTAACGCATGCAGAACTCTCATGCATGCTTTTCCAAGGTAATAGGAGATTTCCACTAGCCATGTGGAACTCGGTGGAAGCAATAATCTCTCTCTAAAAATCGCATTTAAAATAAATAATAAATAATATTAATATAGTACTTTTGAAGATTTTTAATGAGATTAAAAAAATCATGTGGCACGTATGACGCCCTGGGGACACTCACGTGCCAAAAGTCAGAAAAAGAAAAGGGAAAATATTGGTTTATATAATTGATGCATGGGCTCATTCAAGAACTTATAATTGTGAAATCACATAAACTGAAATCTATAAATAAATAAATAAATAACAAAAACAACACCTAAAAAACAAGCAAAAGGGTTCGCAAACAACAAAAAAGAAAATCCATCTAACTTTCTATTATGCGCATCACACAAAGGCATCCATTGCATCCTTTATATTTTATTATTTTTATCCTTTTAAGACTAACAAGCATCAACTCCCCATTTTTTTATCCATGCCCAAATGCAGTATCCATCCTACAATTCCTTCACAGGCGTAGAGTCAGATTGATTTGCTTTTTGTTGATTTGCTTTTTGTTGCTTGCGAGTTTCAGAGTTATATCGATCATTTCATCATCCCTCAACTGACTTTGCTCTTTGTTGCTTGCGAGTTTCAGAGTTATATCAATATCAATCATTTCATCATCCCTCAACTGACTAAAAAGGCTCACAATCGAGTTCATTTCATGTCCATTGTATCCCATTACACTATGCATCAAGGGGAAATTACCGGTCCTCCATTTTAAACTAAGTTGTTTCAGCTAATAGCAACAATGGTGATAGTTTCGGTGTTGTCGCCATGGGTGTGGTGAGGCTGTGTTTTAGGGATGGAGGCATCTGTTACATGTCATGAGGGG